TTCGCTGGAGGTTACAGAGCAAGGTACCAGCAGAACTGGGCTCACCCTTCCTTGCTCTTGACGGCGGCTTCTTCATCTCATTTCTGATGGCTGGAGCCAAAGTCCCCGTTTTCCAGGGGATTCTTAAAATGATACAGTTCTAAGTTTCTACACATGCTTAACCTTCTTTGGCACATAGACTATTTGAGCAGAAAAGGATCTTTGAGGCAATCTTGTTTGATTCTCACACTTTACAAATAAGGAAGTAAGACTTGGCTAGAGTCGGGTACTGGCCAGCCGCAGCCTTCCTGGTGCTGAGTGGGAGGAAACACATCCTTCAGGAAGTCAGTTTGTGCTCCCCCCAGCACAGCTCTCAGTGCAGACATTCGATGATGATTCCACACAGAGACTGAAGTCTGGAACACCTGAAGGAGCAGAGCAAGGAGCACCCAACTCTGAAGGCATCTACAATCTGGAATGGCCCCTCTGCACTCCCCCAGGGAAGCCAAAGATGTGGCCTGATCCACGAAGCTGGCATAGCAATAGCACAGCCACAGAGGTCCAAGAGACTAACACCTGCAACCTGAGGCGCTTTTAAGGAGATGATTTCAAAACCCACCTCTGCAAGTCCATAGTAGCTGGAAGGAGGAGGAAAAGGACAAATCATTGCACTTTAGCTTACCTTTAGGTTTATGATCAAGCTCCAAAATCAAGATTATTGCCATATTTGAAATATGCTTAAAAAGTCTTGAATCAGACAACTACTATGGTTTCCATTGTCCTTGAAAAGGAAAAATGGATGTCTTAGTCAGCTTTTTCCCTGCTGTGACTAAAAGAGCCAACCAGAACCATTTTAGGGAAGGAACAGTTTTATTTGTGGGCTCATGGTTTCAGAGTTCTCAATCCGTAGACAGCAGGCTCCACTCCTTGGGGCTCAAGGCGAGGCTGAACATCATGGCAGAAGAGTGTGGCAGAGGGAAGCAGCTCACATGATGATCAGGAAGCAGAGAAAGAAATTCTAATCTCCAGGTACAAAATATATACCCCACAGCCATGCCCCCCAAAGAAAACTTCCACCAGCCACACCCCACCTGCCTCCAATTACCATCCAGTTAATCCCGTCAGAGATGAATTCATTGATTAAATTAAGGCTACAAATCTCCAGACTTTTTTGCATTGTCTCACACGTGAGCTTTTGGGGGACACAACATCTAAACCATAACAACAGAAAAGTAAGAAATTATTTAAGAGGCAGTAAAACAAGGAAACAGAGAGGGGATCCAGGGTGTGGGCAGCAGATCTTTATTGTTGATACCATGGTCTTTCACTGTGTGACAATAGTTGACAAGCACTGTTAAAAATAGAGTCAGCGTGCACCAGAATGACAAAGTTACCTCCGTGTAGTGGGCCTGTAGTCCCAGCTCCTGGGAGGTTGAGGCAGGAAGATCACTTGAGCCCAGGTGTTTGAGGCCAGCCTGGGCAACACAGCAAGACTCATCTTTTCAAAAAAACAAAACAAAAGAACAATAGTCAAGCACAGTTTCGATCTGTCTCCCAGGAGAGAGAAATAACAATAGAATAAGAGACTAAAACACAGACTATTTGATTGGCATTCTTATTTTCTAAAGAAGGAAATTCAGGGTGGCCCTAGTAATATAACATTAATTTTTTCCCACTTTATTATACCATTGGAGAATACCAAAAACATAAAGCACTATATACCTCAAGTATCACATGTAACACAGACAGGCAACACTGGGTGGATCAATGATCTGAGCTTGCCCAAATTAGCTTTAATTGATTGTTTAACTTCCATAAGTTCTCTTGGGTATTTTGTCAATACTTATTTTGTAAATAAGTCTGACTAAATATAAGGTGAAACATAAATATCCAAAATAAGCATGCATACGCATTATATACAAATACAGATATGTATAGGTATATAAGTATATATGTAAATGTCTTTGTATGTAATATATTGAAACCATTTAATATGTCCAGGTATTGAGTCTACCTTCCAGCTGAATAATTAAGTTCACTGGGCATTCAAGTATAGATCCTGAGCCTTCTCAGGGCACATGCACTGTTTGCTCAATATGTAAACACGTAATTATTTAACTTGCCTTCTAAAGCGATACCACACCCTGGATATGATGCAAAACCCAGCATTACAAGATAAGCTCTGTCTCAAGTTTCTGCTCGTTAATAGTGCCTGAAGTATTTGCTCATATACTCAGGGACAGAAGCAGAAGTAAACAGGCCAGTATTATAAGGGACACCTATGTTACAAAACTGACTTTCGCACATTGTGAAAGCAATGAATGAAGCTCAGCAGAACTCCTGTAAGAGCACCTATCGAGTTGGTCAAAGGGACTTGAACCTCACCACCTCCTCCCAACCCACCCAGGTGGGTCTCCTTTCCTCGGGTATCAGATGCAGCTCTGAGGTGTGGGCCTGGGCGGGACAGCACCTCACCTACTTGTGTTCTTTCTGCCTGCGCCTCCATTCACCCGGCTTCCTCTCCATCTGCACTGCGTCAGACCTCAGTGAGGCCTTTGCACAGGGCAGTTAACATGCCTGGACTTTTTTTTTTTTCTTTAAAACTACAAAATCATTCCTTTATGATTACCTCTCTAATTAAAGAGAACACAGTGTCCTGAACAAGGACTCTTGTCAAAGTTGGGCTCTGGCACAACTTTGCACTTTGGTGAAGTGTGCTTTTTTATACCTGCCATCATCCCCAGATACACGCTGCAGTGAGATCCGGCTAAGCAATTAGAGCAAAAACTTGGAAAACCTGATGACCAGTGTTTGAAATCTTGATCCATACGCTTGCTATGGCGCCGCTTTCCGTACCCGTCATGGGGATAATGGATGGACAGATGGACAGATGGATAACCAAAGTGCTTAGACTAGTGCCTACTCTGCCATAAGTTCTACATAAGTACAAGCACAATAACTGTGATAATAAATAGCAGCTCCTATCTACTTCTGAGTTTGGGAAGCCACAGGGATTGATGGGGGCTGCCCTTGCAATAAAGTAGGGAGGACATGCCTGAATGGCTGCAGCTGGGCTGCCTCAGCCAGCTGTCCCCATGGAGGGGCCCAGCCCAGTGTGACTAGCTCTTCATATTTTCAATAGAAGACAAACATCAGCCTCTAGATTTTAAATTGTTTACATTTAACAAATATCAGTGTTTAAGTTGAAGAAAGCATGTCTAGAGGCAGGGATCGCCCTTTAGTCACCATTGTGTGACCTCTGACAGGTCTGAATCTACCATATGTGTGTGTGTGTGTGTTTCTGTTTTTCTGTGTTCTCCTCTACCTGTTTCTCAGTTGACTACCCTAGGGCAGTAGAAAGCGCTCAGAAGGTACTCAATTAAGGCCGGCTGACCAGGCTTGTTAATGAATAAACACCTGTGAAACTTTTCTGAAAGAAAGCAATAAGTACCTTAGTGCTCAGCACCTCTAGTGCCTTTTCTTAAAGTGTGTTTTCACATCAACAGACAAGATCCTAGGGACAGGAATCTGAACAAGACTTACAATGCTATCCCTGCTCTTTTAAGAACTTTCAGACTTGCCAGGGACACAAAAAAGCAGATGATGTTTACAAGACAAGATGGCATGCATCCTCTTACATCCTGAGAACCCTCTGCAGTAGATAGGGTGCGTGGTTTCAGACCCATCAGAAAGGAATCAGAGGTTAAGGGACTCGTCCATGATCGCTCCACTAGTAATTGAAGGTGTAACAAGAACCAGATCTGCAGACTCTCAATCCGGGGCCCTCCCTGCTGCACTCAAACGCTCCATACACTATGCCCATTTCTCAGAACCTCTGCCACTAGAGACGCCAGTGTCGCAAAGAGGGCTGCTGCTGTCCAGTGAGTTAGGAGGCATCGGTGGTACCATGGAATGCAGGCTTTAAAAAGGCCCCTGAGAAGGGTTAGGGGATGTTTTTTGTTTTGTTTTCATTAATTTTTTAAATATATTTTTTAGTTGTAGTTGGACACGATATCTTTATTTTATTGATTTATTTTCATGTGATGCAGAAGATCGAACCCAGAGCCTTGCACATGCCAGGCAAGCGCTCTACCGCTGAGCCACAACCCCAGCCCCTGTTTTCATTAATTATAATTTCCCTTTTGCCAAAAAGAATCTGAGGCCACTTTCAACAAAATATAATGCCATTGTTAAAAGATTTAAAAGAGTAACAGATAAAATTGCTCTTCAGAAAATGAAAGTTAAGAATAGGGGCAAACTGGGAGGTGACCAAGTTCTTGTTGTCTGCAAAAGAAATTTAGCAAATATTATCACCACTTGTTCTCTAATTTCTGGATCGCATAGCAAAAATTGGTGTTTTTATGAAAAACATTGATTAAAGAGTATGGCATTTTACAAAAATAAAAATAGCTGATTTTGTTATACTTGTAAAGTCTTGTTGATCAGAAGATTTGGAAATATGTAACAACATACTGACTAGTCCGTGGTTAACAATATTAATGACGTGGTGTGTTTGGTGAAGGAAAAATGGGAACACTGATGTCCAGTTTGGAACACTTGTGTGGCTGAGTATTGGAACTATAATTTTGAAGAGAGAAAGAGCAATGTCACCCTTTTCACACACAGTAGGCAACTCATCTCAAGTTCTTAACTGTGTAAACAATAGCCACAGGGCATAAGGAACACAAGATGATAGTCAACAGTGACAGGGACATATCATCATTCACTCAACTGTTCCTGAGGGGCCACGAAAGGGTATTTGTGTACTGTTCCTAGGGAAGGAGATAGAGCCGTGAACAAAGATCTCAGACCTCCAATATGAATTTGCAAGAAGGCACGGTGCTCAGAATGAAGAGGATGTCCTTCCATGGCGTTGTGTGCTGACTTTTAGCAGCCAGACTCAGGTACAGAAGTTACATAAAAGCAAAAGATGGAGCCAGAGGTAGTGGTGCATGCCTGTAATCCTAGCTAAGTTGGAGAGCATTCATATGTTTGAAATCAGAATTAAAGAGCGAGCCAAATTCAAAGTGACTTTAAATTCTATTTTAAGGTTCTCACAACACCTTCAAACTTAGTAAGCAATCAAAAGTTGATAGAGAACAGTCTTTATTTCCACATCAGAGTCAATAATAACATTGCATATATATATAATTTTGGTACTTTGACATTTCTTAAAACCTCCCCAAATACTGACAAACAGTAATACCATATGGTTGTTGACACTTTGCAGAGAGCAAACCTGTTTCCAAATGCAATACAACAAATATGTTAATGGATTGTTTCATTTCTGAATTTTAAATGTTCAACAGAAAACCAATTGCACCAAATGTACATGATATTTCTTAATGTACACCAATTGCATTACAGAAAGACATAGAACTGAAACATTCATTTATTTGATTATGAACCAAGCCATCATCTCTCTGGGTATCAGTTGAGGGGAAAGACATAAGAGCTAGGATTTCCAGATTTTTTGGATTTAGTAAGCCAATTAAACTAAACGAATCAAGAAGGAACCAACAACTAACATAGGGTTGCCAAGGAACTAAAACACAAACACACACACACACACACACACACACACACACACACACAAAACCCCACTATCTATCAGGAAATCATTCATAAATAACCTCAAAATATGAGGAGGGAGACATAGTCTTTGAATTAGAAACATCCTTTAAGTTGAGTGCATTTAACCTGATATTTTTAAATAATCTGCTCCAATGTTCATATTCTTCGGATGCGGCCCTGGAGGGTAAAAGCTGTGTCTCTGACTTGTTTTTAGACCATTGATTCTTGACCAAAAGCAACTCCTCCATGTAACTCCTAAATTCTTCCTAGTTCTAAAATGTTTTGATTTTACGGTCCTAAATTTTATTCTAGACTTTTTGTACCAAAGTAGCTTGCAAACACGTTTCAAATCCAGTCTCTCGCACCTCATTGACACCACCAATGAGTGGATTCCATGAATGGGGTCTGGGCACCTTACCATCTAACAGACAGCAAGGGAGGGCCTCCCGAGACCAGGCACTGGGCCATGCAGTTGGGGACACAGAGACACAAAGCACAACTCATGCCACCTAAAATAAAGTTGCTGTAGGGCACATCCAGTGATACACTACAGGAGGTATGCCGGGTTCCTGGGTATTTAGGAGCAGCCCTGTATCCTGAGTGGGGTAGAGGAGGCTAAAGAGCCAGACGTCCTGGATAAGGGGATGGTCACGGTGTCTTGGCATCCGAGGGTTCCCACGACAGCAATGAGCAACTCACGTGAAACTGACCTGCCTTCAGAAATCACGGAGAATCCCAGGAACTCCATACCCTGGTGAGTTCCAGAGAGGACAGGTCTACGCGGTGGAGAATCACTGAAGATGCTGGAGAGTCAGGCAAACTCCAGTTCCAGGAGACCTGCAGCACCTCTTTAAGGAGTATGGGCTTCACCCCCAACATATTGGGTCTCACTGAAATGTTTTCATCAAGAGGATGAGACTGAGGCCCCAACTCAAATTTTCAAAGAACCTCCAGGTCAAGAATTCCTTTGTTTTTTGTTTTGTTTTGTTTTTTAAGGCTACTTCAGGCCTTCCCCAAAGTACCTCCTCTCTCCTTCCCTAGAGCTCACCAGCCACAGGCGCTGCTGGATGGACTGTAGAACAGGTTCACGTCTTCATTTAGATTTTCCTAAATATCACAGACAACAGTGACAAACCACTCAAGGTGCTTCTTTATGTTCAGTTTGTAGAAATATTTGAAAATTATATATATATATATATGCCATACCTATTTATTGGAAATTGGGACAGACATTAATTTCGACGGTGTGTCCTCACTATTTCTCGACTCCACCCACCTCTCTGTCTGCGCCCCAGTCCTCTGTTGTGCCCTCCTTGGCCTCTGTGCCTCCTTGCTGGCCTCCCTCTCATCTCTCTGCCACGCTCTCCAGCCACGGCCCACACTGGCACCAGAGTATCTCTTCATACCAGCCTCCCCCAGCTCTTAACCCTCTTTGCTCTTGGGCTGAAGCGTGTCCCTCTTCCCAGCCTGGTCTTCTCTCGTGCCACCTCCTCCTCCCTTCTTCTGGCTCCCACCACACGGGGAACATGGAGGCATTCTCCCGCCTACCCCCTGACCTTTGTGATTCTGTTTCTTCTGCCTGAGTGCTCTCTCCCCCACTCCTCTCTCATTGATGTAACTTCTACCCAGCGGAAAGAAAACTTCCCTTGACCTCCCAGGCCAAATCCTGCGCTGCTCTTACACATTTTCGTGGGACTCTGCTTTTTTTTCCCTTAGTCGTTATCCCAAATTTGCAATGCTACCGTTCACTAGCATCTGCTTCCAGTGCGGCAGGAGAGCTTCCTGAAGATGGGGCTGGGATCTGTTTTGTTCTTTTCTAACCATAAGAAGAGAGCAGGGCTGACCCAGAACCAGTGATCAATAAATACTGTTGAAGGGAGGGAGAAAAATGAGGCTATTCTGAATGATTCCTTACAGGTCTTTCTCTTCCTCCTACGCTTGTATTCAAATACAAGAGGGTATGTCCTGGTCACAGAAGTGTGCTGACCCTGTCAGGTCATTACCAGTATTTATCAGGAACCTACCATGTATGTATTGAGCACTTTTTCAGGAACTGGGAGATGCCACAGGGAGCAAAACACACCAATCTTCTCCTGGAGCTTGTACTCTGGGAGGAAGAAACAGTAAACATCCTAGATAAGTAAACTATGCAGTGTATGGAGAAGGTAAAACGCACTGCAAAGGAAAAGAGAGTAAGTTGATGAAAGAGGAAGAGAGAAGAGGGAACCAGCATCCATTCATTTTATGTTAAAAAAAAAAAAAATTGATCGGTGAGACTGAAATAGAAGGGACACCAGGAGGCTCATGAAGTCTAAAACAAGTTTGAAAAAAGCAACAGAAACAGACACAGGAACTCATTAACCTCAGGAGGAAAATTTCACACATACCTGAAAAGAACTGTGTCTAGGCACATGGTGGCAGGTCTGTGGTGGCCCCTCTCACTCCACAGGGCTTCAGCACCTTTCTCCAGAACAATATAAGTTTAACCGCTACCTTCTCCCTCTGAGTCCTCTCCCTCTCCTTGGTGCTGTTGGTGGATCTTTCTTCCACGTTCCTACGGCCTTTGGATGGTCTCCCTGCATCTCCCTGTTCGGTGATGATTTATTTTCATAAATATCAGCTCCATCAGAACACAGGAACCATGTCCCAGTGGCCAGTGTCTGGTCATTTTTAGCACTTGATAAATGAGTAAATCGTGGGTAATGACTGAACGAACACACACAGTGCGGGAGTGAGTGTAGCTACGACAACGAAGAGGCGTCCTGTCCCGACCGCCGAAGTCCTCCATGAGTTTTCCATATTTTTGTATGCTAATAATTATGCTAATAATCTTTAGCCTCTGGACCCCAGGAATATTGGAATAGTCAGACAAATTATTCTCTAGAAGGAATAAAATGCTTGGGTAAGGGCTTATTAGCCAGCTACAAAATCAACTTAATAAGTCCCAAAAAGCATATTTTAGTTAATTAGGATACATGATAAAGTAACAGAATGCATGAAATAAATAAGGTTAAGTGGTTTGGAGACATGTGGCCCACTTTGCTCAGAATAGCCCAGTTTCTTCCTGTCGCCCCCCCCCCCCCCGCCGCTCCGTCATTACTTTCCAAATAATAACTTCCCCAGTTTGCACAATGAATTAGGTAATCAACTTCATTATACACACATTTGTAGATAATTTATATACTGGTTTGTGAAGTCAAGTGTATTTCTAGCAATGGACATTGTTCAAAAAAAGTGTGAGAAACACTTTTATTCAGAGATTCAAACTTCTAAAGCTCTGGGCGAGTGGAAGGAGGAAAAGCAAGGGAAAATTAGAGGGGAGAAAAGAATATTGTGGATTGCCTGAATAGCCATTTCTTTGTTTTGTTTTGTACCATGGATTGAACCCAGCAACTCAGTCTACTACTGAGCTACACTCCCACTCCTTTTCTTTTCCTTAGTCTGAGAAAGGATCTTGCCTAGTTTCTGAGAGTCCCACTAAGTTGCTGAGGTTGGCCTTGAACTTGCAATCCTCCTGCTCCAAAGCTCCTGAGTCGATGGAATTACAAACTTACATTACTGCACCCAACCCCAAATAGCTTTCTAATGCTTATGCTATCCCTGTGTGGAAAGCAGAACCTTCCATCTTACAAATGGGGGAACTGAAGTTCTCAGCTCTTAAAGGTTGCCTGAGTCCCTATGCCATCAGATCATAGTGCAGTATTGAAATCTAGAGCTACACATGGAGAAATCAGAGCACTAATCTCTAGGATGTATAAAGCACTCAAAAACCTTAATACCAAAAAACAAATAACCCAGTCAATAAATGGGTCAACAAATTGAACAGATATTTCTCAGAAGAAATTGATCAACGAATATATGAAATAATGTTCAACATCTCTAGCAATTAGAGAAATGCAAATCAAAACTACTCTAAAATTTCATCTCACTCCTATCAGAATGGCAGCTATTAAGAATACAAACAACAATAAGTGTTGGTGAGGATGCAGGGAAAAGGCATACTCATACACTGCTGGTGGGACTGCAAATTGGTACAACCAACATGGAAAGCAATATGGAGAATCCTTGGAAAACTTGGAATGGAACCACCATTTGACCCAGCTATCCCACTCCTCGGTATACCCAAAGGACATAAAAACAGCATACTACAGGGACACAGCCACATCAATGTTTATAGCAGCACAATTCACAATGGCTAAATTGTGGAACCAACCCAGATGCCCTTCAGTAAATGAATGGATAGAGAAAATGTGGTATATATATATATACAATAGAATATTACTCAGCTTTAAAAGAGAACAAAATTATGACATTTGCAGGTAAATGGATGGAGCTAGAGAATATTATGCTAAGTGAAGTTAGCCAATCCCCCAAAAAAACCAAATGCCAGAATGTTTTCTCTGGTATGAGGATGCTGACTCATATTAGGGAGGGTAGGGGGTGGAGCATGGGAGAACTTTAGATAGGGCAAAGGGGAGGGAGGGGAGAGAGGGGCATAAGGGTAGGAAAGATGGTGGAATGAGTTGGACATCATTACCCTAAGTACATGTATGAAGACATAAATGGTGTGACTCTACTTAGTGTACAACCAGAGACTTGAAAAATTGTGCTCTATATGTGTACTGAATTGAATTGCATTCTGTCATTGTATATACCAAATTAGAATAAATAGATTTTTTTTAAAAAAAGAAAAGGCATTTCTTTCTGCACACAAACCACAACATTTGTAGCTGCATAAGATTTTAAGAGGGCATAATGGAACACACCTCCCACTCTGACCTAATAAATTTTATGATTCAATAAACATAATTTTTCTTTGAAAATATTTTGTATTTGAAACTACTTAATATTTTCACTCAAATGGCAGTTTTTAATATGAACTGAAGAAGGGACTGAATATTTGGGATTAATGAAATAAGCCATATGTTTCAGTCAGCTTTTCATCACAGTAACCAAAAGACCTGACAAGAACAACTCTGAAGAGGAAAAGTTTGATTCAGTCCATGGCCAGCTGACTCCACAGCTCTGAGACTGAAGGGAGGCAGAACATCATGGCGGAAGGGCGAGGCAGAGGGAAGCAGCTCAAGTCAGGGCAACCAGGAAGCAGAGAGAGCTCCGCCCACCAGAGACCAAACACAAACCCCAAAGACACACCCACAGTGACCTACTACCTCCAACCACACCCTACCTGCCTGGAGTTACCACCCAATTAATCCATATTAGTGGATTAATTCACTAATTAGGTTACAGTTCTCATAATTCAACCGTTTCACCTTTGAACATTCTTGCATTGTCTCACGCAGAAGATTCTGGGGACATTTCCTATTGGAACCCTAACACCATGCTAGGCAAAGTTACAAAACGTGAGCAGTTCTGTGCAGAGTAGTGCATACGTAAAGAATTCAGTCCAGAGCCACGGGTAGAGCTCACTGGTAGCATGCACTGGAAAGAAACATAAACAACAAAAGTCTATTTTTTAATTGCTATAGACTGAGAAGAGCTTCTTAAGTTTCTCTGTGCTTCATTTCACTCATCTACTGATACCCCCAAGATAGACCTACCTCACAATATGGTTATAAAGACTAAATGGAAGCATTGACCTCAGTAGTGAGTGAGCTGCCATAATAATAGAAATTCGGAGGACTGGAGCCAAAGCCACTCTCTTTTTACTTTTATTTTCACTTCCCTTTGACACACACCTCCGCCTTTAATGGTCTTTGCTTTGTAGTTTGGATCTGAAATGTTCCCAAAGGCCTATGTGTTAGAGGCTATTGGAGGTGGTGGAAGCGTTAAAAGGTGCGGCCTAGAGAGAGGTGTCAAGTTATTGGGGACAAGTCTTTAAGGGGAGAGTGGGACCTTCTTCTTCCCCTCTCTCGCTCACGTCCTGTACTTCACCATGGACACACTGCCGTGATATGTTGCCTTTCCGAAAGCAACAGGGCCAATGGGCTCCAAAACTGGGAACCAAAATAAACTTTTTCTCTTTATATCTCAGATATTTGGTATAGTAGCAAAAAAACAAAATAAAACTGGTTATTATAGAGTTCCTCTAACCAGAGCATGGTGGCATACTCCTGTAAGCTTGGGAGGCTGAGGCAGGAGGATCGTGAGTTCAAAGACAGCCTCAACAATTTAGTGAGATCCTGTCTCTAAATAAAATACAAAAAAGGGCTGAGAATGTGCCTCAGTGATTAAGCGCCCCTGGATTTACTCCCCAGTACCAAAATCAAACAAAAACAAAAACTCATTCTGCGTCTAGTTTCTCTTATTTTCCTATAATAACCTCCATTCGGTCTTTATACGTTATTTCTTTAAGATATTACTGAATTACTCAATTTGTTAGCAGTTTCCTAATGTTTTTTGTGTCTATCTTTATGAAGAATATTGCTTTCTCATTGTTGTTTTTCTTTTTTTTTTTTTCTTCCCCTTGTGTAATTTGTGTGTCAGAGTTTCATAGCAAGGGGATGCTGGCCTCATAAGATGAATTGGACAGTATTCCTTTCATCCTCTTTTCCTACAAGAGTTTATGAGACATTATTGTATTTCTTAAATATTTGATAGAAGTCACAGGTGAAGCCATCTGGGTCTAAATTTTCCCTGGTTGGAAATTTTTAAATTACACATTAAATTTCTTTACCAAATATAGGGCTATTCATGTTTTCTACTTCTTCAGTCAAGTGGCAAGATGTATTTTCTAAAGAATTTGCTCATTTTAGGTTGCTGAGTTTATTGACATAAAATGATTCATAATATTAATTTATTATCCTCTCGATGTTTGTTGTCACCGATGTAATGTGTCCCATTTTTTTTTCTTGATTTTGATAAATTGTGTTTTCTCCCCGTTTTTCTTAATAAGTCTAGCTAGAGGTTTGTAAGTGCTGTTGAAATTTTCCAAAAATCAACATGAGATTTATTGACTATCTCTTATTTTTGCTTTGTGTTATGTTGATTTCTGCTTTTATCCTTGTTATTGTCTCACTTTTTCTTTGAATTCAATTTGTACTATTCTTACTTTTTAAGGTAGAATCTCAGATTACTGATTTTAGACCTTTTCTAATATAAACATCTTTTTCTAATATAAACATTTACTATTATACAGTTCCTTTGAGACAGTGCCTTAGCTCCCTCTCATAAATTTTTATATGTGTGTTTTCATTGTCATTCAAACATTCTCCACATTCCTTGTGATTTCCTCTTTGACCAATGGGTTGTTGGAAGTGTGTTGTTTAATTCTCAAATATTCAGAGATCTCCCAAATGCCGTTATTGACTTCTAATTTAATTTCATTATGGTCAGAGGACATACTTTACGAATTCAACATTTTTAAACTTGTTGGGGCTTGTTTTATGAGTAACATATGGTCTCCATTGGTTAATGTACGACGTGAACTTGAAAAGAATGTGTGTTCTGGTGTCATTAGGGAGAGTCAGTTAGGTCCAGTTGGTTGATGAGGTTGTTCCAGTCTTTTATATCCTTGAGGATTTTTCTGTCTTCTTTCTTTATTGATTATTAAGTGGAAGTGTTGAAATCTTCATCTGTAATTGTGGATTTTTAACTTTCCTTTCAGTTCTGTCAGCTTTTGCTATGTGCATTAAGAACTGTCCTATTTTCCCCATGAATTTATAGCTTTATCATTATGAAGGTCCCTTCTTAGTCTTAGTAATATTCCTTTTTACATTGTCTGCTCCATCTGATATTAATATAGCCAGTCAGGCTTTCTTGTAACTAGTGTTTGCATAGTATATCTTCTTCATCCTTTCAGTTCTAACATTATGGTGATATATATTTTTAATTGATTTTTTTCATAGCATCTAATAAGATATTACTTGTCCTTCAGTCTGACAATCTCTGACTTTTAATTACAATGTTTATGCCATTTA